GCTCATCTCTGCAGGGTCTAATTTCCGTCCCTGGATGTGGTAGGGGAATTTCCTTCCATATTTTTGAAGGTAGTGATGTATTCAAAAGTTTGGGGCCTCCCAATAGAAAGTAACATTTTGAGTAGCTCTATTTAAAGGAGTTGGTTGTTTACCTGCTATTCTTTCTTCAAAACCTCATCTCCGCTCCAGTCGGTGAAGTCTCTGCCCTCCAGTTTTCTTCTGCATCTTAGTTGTTTACTGCACAGTGCTTCTTTTCTCTTCTTTTCCCTTCCCTTGGTATGCTCTTCTGTTACCTCTCTTCTTTGCTTCCATTCTCTCCCACCTGGATCCTCCTTTCTTTAATGACTCCTCTCTAATGGGGCGGGTTCTTCCTGGTTTGGGGCCATGCAGGGAAGCACTGTGAAACATGCCTCTGCCTGACCTCACCATTACCCACTCGCAGCAGTGCGACTGGGGTTGGGGAGTGAGACATGAGACCCAGGTGTGAATTTAGAGGGGGTGCCAGAATGGCAGCCCCTGGGAAACCCACTTTGTAGCATTAATATTCAGGGCCTTTGAGTCGGCAGTGAAAACCATGTGGGGGTGAGTGGGGTATGAGCCTCAGCAGCTAAGAGGGCTCCTGGAAGGGAGTTATTAGGGCTTGAAGCTTCGGTCATGAGAAGCTGGGGCCGGAGCCCCGTCCCCGCTTGGAGAGATGCTGCTGGTGTGGCCACCAACCAGGCTGTTAACTTGGCTGGGTGCCGAGACCCTTGAGCATCCCCACATCCACTTTTCTTACTGCTGCATTCAGGATTTCAAGTCACTGCTATGGACAGTAATTGGTAGTGGTAGCAGCTGCAGCGGAGGGTGAAAGTGGGTTCATAAAGCCAGCAGCTGTGACATTCACCATGTAGCACCTGACTGTGCCAACACCTCCCCCTGCAAAAGCAGCTATTTTTTGCCCAGGGCACAAAACCTACCAGTTATACCTCTGCTTTGAATCTCCAGGGTCAGGCAATGCTCTCTTTCTTGGTACTCTTCCTCATCCCCCCCCCAGCATCTCTGCCCAGGGCACTAAAATTGTGTGTTACACCTCTATCTGCTAGTTGGCCCCTCCAGTGCATTATTCAAGTCCATTACCATTTCCAAGAGTTTTTCACAGGGAGAGGTAATGTGCATAGCCAGAACTTAACCAGAATTAAAGAGGCCAAGAAAAATAATTACGTTTTCACTGACCTCCAAGCTTGCAATGATTTAAATGCACAGTCAGAAAATAAATATTAGTCTTCCCCTTTCAACAACCCTTCACCTTCAACCCAGTAAATATATACATCAGAATCAGAAGGAATTGGGTTTATTCCTGCTTTTCCACCAACAGTTGGTACCACCATTTTTTACATTAAGCAGCATGGCTCAAGGGATCAATCCCACCAGGGGACTGAGCCCCTTCAGTTCTCATTAACTTTGATGGGAGTTTTGGTGTCAGGCCATAGCTGCATTGCCTATAAGGATACATATCTAAAGACTATAAACACTGAAAAGGGAAGAGCACTATTTACAATTGGGTTGGGGTAGTAATTTTTATTTACAGTTAAGGGCCAACTGTGCTAAACATTGAACCTAAGCAGTTAGTACTGCTCTCTTCACTGTAGTATCTGGGTGCATACCTTAAAAAAATTCATATCCATGAGCTCTATGCCCCCAGGTTTACAAAATTAAATTAAAGCACAGGAAAATTTGGGCTGAATATCAGGTAATGAGATATACTAGTTAATTTCCAAAGAGCAACAGTGGAAACTCCATTATGTGAATCACTTAAAATCAAACAGGGCAAAATATTTGAACTTAAGCTGCAAGGACACCAACCTTTGTGGGGGGCAAAGGATGACCTAATAGTTCTTTTTTCATCTCTAAACTTGTACCGTGCTTTCCATTTTCTACTGATTACACATCAATGACATTCTTGTTCCCATTGCCCTTTTTCAGTGATTTCATCACAAACGGTTATTCAGTACTTCTGACACAGGAAACTGAGGATAAATGAAAACTCATCCTTTTATGCCACTTCAGCAAAGAAACAGTTGCACAAAATTCTTCCCTTTTCCAGAAGGGACGCAGAAGCTGAGGCAATAGATTGAAATGTATAACAAATGTCTCTGCTAGGGTCACCACTAGACTTCTTGGACAGAGTTACGAGGACAGCATGGGACATACGTATGTGTGCATGCAGAATAATGACTTGGAAGACATTTGTATTTTGGCTTTTTTGTTAATTTTTATATTTATTTTGGACTGTGCGTTACTGTTTCTGAATCTATAAATAACCACCTGGGGAGTTTACTTTCCCAGCTGCCCCAGACATTATCAGGTTGTGTGTAGTTTCCACACAACCAGGCAAACAACCTGTTTTTGGTCAGCACAACCCTTCACAATTACCCTCCACCAGCTTGCTTCTTTGGGCTCAGTTCCACTCCTTTCCCTGACTTAGCCATTCACCTTTCTCTCTCTCTGCTAAAGAGGAGATTGTTCCTAATAAATTTGCAAGCACATTTACTTTCTCCAAAAACAAACCTGCCAAAATTCCCACAATACTCACTCATTAAGTATGTTTTCATTTTTAACAAACTGTCAGAGTTCCCATCAAAACATTATCCCTATTCATAATAGGAACAATAGTATGAATAGTTCAGAAGCCAGTGAAGACAAGATGTGCTCGTGATAAGTAAGGGCCTTGTTACATACTAGCTTCAGGAAGCTCCTGGAGCTCTTAATCCTTAGACTGTCCACACATTAACACCTGAAACTAGTTTGAAGCACACATTAGGTGGCTTAAAGCTATGCCATTGCAGGGCAAGTTTCTCTCTGATCCATGTTTGCCAGCTTGTGTTACATTCATTTCTGGCCACTCTCCGCAGATGAGCTGCTCAAGTTGCAGACCTCCAGCATCCCAGGATGCAGTCTCTCCTCCCCTCCCCTTCTGTTCTATGTGGACAAACTTTCCATTCCCTGAATTCTGCTGCCCAGTGGGCAGTTCTGGCACCAAGCCAATGCCACTGGGGATGTGACCCCTGCCACACCTCCCCCCGGGGTCCTTCCATGCAAGCAACCTGCAGAACACATGCCAACTGCAGGGCACAGAGGGGTCCAGGAGTGGGGTTTAGCAGGGTGAAAGGGCAACAAGGTAGCAAGGCAGATGAGGTCCCCATGAGATCATGCTTCCTTCCCAAGGTAGAGGCAATTGCTCTACCAAAAGTGCCTTCCTTCACTGCTCCCACCTCCCAGGGACCCCAAGAGGCACAACCAGCACCCCCACACCCCAATTCAAAATCCCAGTTTATTAAAACATGAGATCTTTCTTTTCTCTTTTTAAATTTATTTCCCTTCTTTACTTTGTTCTTCAGCATTTTACCACCCTTCCCCCACCCCCATTTCCTTTCCACCTCCTATTTTATTACCCACCCTAAACCCCTTAACTCTCCGCCTCCTAGCTTCAAGCCCCCCACCCCATCCAACCCACTTCTCATATACCCCCACCTAGAGCAGGGGTAAAAGCTTGTCCTCCTTGTTCACCATCCCTGTAGTGGTAACTCACACCTGTAGGCCGTGTGTAGACAAAATGAGAGGCCTGTTTGCACAACACTTTAAAGTGGGCAACATGCTTTTCCATTGCTTTAATTGTGTCGGTGTTTGCATGCCTCGGCAGTGTATTGCACATTAATTCCAGCCGCTGTAGGAAATTTGCTGGCATAATGTGCCTTAAATGACTTGGGGCGCAGCAAACTAAAACTCTGTTGAGGAGTTTTAGTTTTCTGCCCCTACAGCCGTCGAACAAAGCACCAGGCTCTGCGCAGCTCCATGGCCCTGCAGGCAGCCTGGCAGCAGCCCAGGAAAGCAGCTCTGCCCCAGAAAAGTGGTGAGCCTGATCTCCCCCCACCCGAGCCTGCCTTCCTGCCTGAGCTGCACGGGGGCCTAGTGCTTCCCTCTGCAGCTGCGGTGCCCCCCCAGGACTGCTTGAGCCAGGTGCCTGTGTGTGGGTGCCACCTGGGCAGGGGGCACAGCTGCTGTGGAGGGAAGCACTGACCCCCCCTGCATCCCAGGGACTGCTCCACCTGCCAGCAGCTCATCCTCCCCTCCCCACTGAAGAGGCAGGTAAGTCAGCGAGGTGTGTGCACAACATGGGGGTTTAATCAGCCCTAAATTGAAGCGGTGTTTTTTAAAACCCACCGCTTTAATTTAGGGCCCCCGTTTCATCTACACATGCCTGTAGTTCCTAGTTAGGCCCCAGTGCTCCAGCTGTCTAGTGGCAAGTCACAGCTATGGAGATGGGGGACAGTCAGAAAAGGCTTTTAGCCTTAAGGTATGACTGCTGCAAACTCAAACTAGCACTAACATCCCTCAACATTTGAGCATCTCAAAGTGCAACGTGTAACAAAGTTATAAGTCCGCAAGGAAGTCAAAATTTGAATCTACCAGTTGGGAATTTTCACCTGGTCCATACCATGGTAAAAACAACTTTCATAGGGGCTATTGTCGCTGTTAGGAAGGGCATGCTGAATACAGTTGGAGAACTGAGTATTTGCAGAGATGTGGGAATTGCAGGGTATCAAAGACCGTTGGGAAATGAGTTTCAGATAACTGAAGTTCAAGGAAAAAGAAACTGTTTTCCACCAATTGTGTTGTACTGGGTTTTGATTCCTAGGCCAAAAACAATTTTCATTTACTCTTGATAAATTCATTAAAAACAGTGTCATGTGCCAGTAATCTGCCTTCCTACCTCTGCTGTTTGATCCTATATTCACAAAGTCTGATGTTTTTAAATATGCAGCCAACATCCAGTTTCAGACTAAGCATTCAGGGTTTCAGGCAGGACTAAGATAAAAGCATGAAATGACTCCAGTGAAGTGGGCCCTACATTTTTTCCCTAGGTGACAGAAACCGCTACCACAACGGATTTCACTGTTGAATGTCACAGCATAGAAGACAAGAACTGAATAGATACTTAACTCCTGTCTTCTTCCTAGATATGACTGATCCCTGTAAATTGGGGCTGTCATGCATTTTGGGACACCACGGAGAAGCCCATTTTGCCCACGCTACACCTGTTTTACCAAGGGAGGGCTTCAGCTCACAAACCAGTATTTGGATCACAGTAAAAATAAGGCTTAGTTCTGCTGTCAAAGAGGAAACAAGAGAGGAAGCTTTCTGTCATACCAAGTCAATTTTTAAAAGCTCACAAAAAATATGATGTGGGGTCCTTTTGTAGTCTTACTGCCTTTTTTAAGGCACAAATTCTAGCTACTTCCCTACCAAAAGACAGCTGCAAGTCTGGCCAGACTTCCTGTGAAGTGGGAGCTGAGCAATTTTACCTGTGTATAGCTAATATTCTCTGCAACAGGCTACAGGCAGGAGGAAATATGTACAAATTAATTACCTGCCTGAGGCAACCTGATATTTTTCTTAACTAGGTCATATAAACTATAGCAAACCACTCTCTGTCTCCCTCTCCCCTTGAAAAAATACCAAGTAGCTAGCTTAATGAACTGAGATTTCTTCTAAAAATAGTTTTCTTATGTCTAGTCTACAGCTTCCGCTCTCATCTAAGACACTCTTTTTGTCTTTAAAAAAGGGACACTGCCAAGTGTGTTTAGGTCCAATACATGACTAACCTTAAACTGTTGTAAATGATAAAGAATACAGATTAGACCCTTCGATGGATTAGCAGCGAGCTCCAGAGATCTTTCTCTTCAAGGTCACAAATTTGTTGTCAGGCCCAGCTAATAGTTTTATTACCATGTGAGTCTGATCACTTAAACCTGTTTTTTCAGAACTCAGCACCATATATTATTTTGCAACAGTGCAAAGTGGGAATAAAACTGTACCAAATCACAATGAAATAATTTTATCTTCACTTCCTAAGTGAGGAAATAATGACAAACGGTGCAAAGCAGTCGGAAATCAAACGCGTAGGGTTGCGTCCCCACGAGCGCACACGTTTCCCCGGGGACAAATAGCAGCAGCACATATTTGTGTGTGCCACTGCTATTTGTCCCCAGGCACACCCCTGGATGTATGCTGTGTTGCACGGCAAATTGCTCTGGGTGCTTGCCCCAACAACTTTACCTGGAGTCCTGGGGGCCTCCTGGGCCTGCAGAGGTGGTGATCCAGGCGCGCAAAGCCTGGCTGGCAGCTTCCGGCTAGCCAGGTTTTTGCTTTGGGCAGTGCATGCTGCTAGCACGTGTGCTGCCCCACTCTTTGGGGGCACATTTAATAGAAAATTAAAAATTCCAGTAAGGGTAGTGCCTATACATTTAATTTTCCCCTCAAGCCCTCACT